ATATTCTTCTTTTGTTTTGTGCTTCAGGATCATTTTACCTGCCCAATTTATAAGGCAGATTTTCGATCTAGCGAAGCTAACCTGAATACCACAAATGGGTTACTGACCCAAATGCTAAATTTATATTTAATCTGAAAAAAAAATCTTCAAACCAGCATAGTGAACAAAATATGTTGTCTTCACAGGCAGTGAAAGCAGTGTTGGGAAGGTTACTTTTTAAATGTATTCCACTACAGATTACAGATTACATGCCCCAAAATGTATTTTGTAACATATTCTGTTAAGTTACTCAATGAGAGTAATGTATTCTGAATACTTTGGATTACTTAATATATTATCATGCTTTTTACAACTACATGAATGTACTATTGCTGTGATTTATTACTATTACTGAAGGTCCGCGGCTCCGAACCGTAAAGGGACTTCTGGCCAATATGTCGGGTTCCGTGTCGGCTTGTAGCTGAAAAATAGCTTTACTTTGTTGTGTGGGTCAACTTTGAGACAGAGAGAGGCGTTGAAAGGCTGCTCCAACGGAACTTATTGTTTCGGAGGAAAACACGAACACAGTCGAGTCTTAATAGCTTACTTACAACTGGGCTCGTCAGGCTCTCTTCTTGGCTGCAGTGGTTATTATTATATTTACATGCTTACGGTTCCCATGGTTACAGGGAGAGCACGTCACCCTGTAACCATGGCAACCGTAACACTGCCGCCTGGAACAACAGAGCATAGCTGTGAAACAAAACCCAAACAGTCCTGACCCGCCACAATATGAAACAGGAAAGTACCGCAGTGTAATCCATTTATTTCAACAAAGTAACTGTATTCTAAATACCACCTTTTTAAACGGTAACTGTAACGGAATACAGTTACTCATATTTTGTATTTTAAATACGTAACGGCGGTACATGTATTCCGTTACTCCCCAACACTGAGTGAGAGGGATATGTTAGTTTCCAATAGGCACTGTATGGCACAAGTGGGGTCCTGGAAATGTGTTAAGTGAGCAGCAAATGGATTTTAGCACATACTACAAATGTATCAAGTTGCTGTAATTGGTAATAATGAATATGATATGAATTCCTTGGTGTAAAAAGGTAACAATTAATTTGCAAGTAATTCATTATCACTTTTAGGTCCTAAATTAAAAGTATGAACATTAATTTAAGTACTTAAGTAAACTGCAGAGGTTCTAGAGTGGAGTTTATTTAAGATAAAGTCATTGTGTTTTTCAATAAGTTGTCTGTCCAGATATCAGATAATCCATCTCATTGTCATGATTGTCCACTGATAATACCAGTGAAGACAAGTGTAGGCAAAAGATCTTTAAGCTCTGCCTTGTGCCACTCTACAGCTGAAATATTATATTTAGTTTTATCTTTTAAAAAAAAAACATTATTGAGGGGAAAGACACACAGCAAAGGGTCACAGGCTGGACTCTGACACTCTGACCATGTGGCATGTGGCCACCTGCTTTTTCTAAGCTTTTCATGAACTTTAACATTTAACATGCTATACAGGCCTGTATAGTTTGAGCTGTAGCTCTTTGCTCTTGGGTTTTATCTGCAGTTTCTCTGAGCATTTGCTGGAGTGCCCAGTCCTGGGAGGACTATGGTCACACTTGCTGATTAATCAGTTGATCAAATCCATTTTATTAGGAATGGCGTACGACTTCTGTCAGAGGTGAGAGGACATCCCAGTCTGCCAAGCAGACCTCTGTCTTTTTCTCTGCTATCTGATTCCAATTCAGGTCTAATGTTACAATTAAGACAAACAGCCATCAGCCTGTTACCTAAGGTCTCCTAGTGCCAAGTACACTTAAACACTTGTTGTTATTGACAAGCTGCAGACAGGCCATTGTTCCCATAGTTCCCAGCGTCCCACCCGAGGATACAGCTGGCCACTTGTAGATTTGAATGCTTTAATATAAAACACTGCTTTGAACGCTAAACATCCAAAGCAATGTTATACTTTTATGCTAAATGATTTAAATTATAGTTAATCTCTATTATACTGCACTCTGCAGCACTCTACTATAACGTTCTGGTTTCAGTTAGCCAACTTCTAGTGTTTGTGGGATTGACGTTCAGCCACTTTCCAGCAAGCCTTGGTTGCATGGACATAGAAAACACTATGTGTAAAGTAAAAGTGGGCTGCATTTGTCAAAATACATTGAATATCTTTTATTAGTTGTTTTTTTAAAATCCATCTTTATATGTAAAAATAAACGAATAAAAAAATAAAAGTGTCCAATAATAAGTTTTCAGTTATTCACTGCCTACACAGAAAGGTCTTGTCGGTGGGATCCTAGATTGTGTTTAAGTCAATGTAGGACTGCTTTATATTTATGGAAACCGCCATCTTTTTGACTGCAAAACAAGCTATGCTATATGGAACAATGTTATTAGCAAAACCTTCCTGTGACAAACTCAGCAAGAGTAAACATGCAAGCTCTATGCATGTGGAGGTGTGCATTTGACATTTCCAGAGCTCCATTAAACTTTCTTTAGGATTTTTTTTAATTTTCTTGTAGATATTAAAGGACCAATATTACAAGAAGTAAAGTTCCAGTTTGACAAATTGCATTATGGGTCATCAGGGATAAGAGATGATTCTAAACTGGGTTTGTTTTTTCCACGACGCTGCACAGTGAAAATGAAAATGCATCACTCATGAGGTAATGAGTCTGGTATAAATCAGCTGAGCAGTTCTGATATAATCACAGCAATCTGTTTATCATCCACATTAATTTTAAAATGAGCATTGTTCCTCACTGCCATGCATTATGTTGGAGGTCACTCCACTGACTTCATTATACATTCCTACGGTGTAACTGCACGATGATGCAAACAAGTGTTGTATTCTTCACTTAGTTCTGATAAAGAGCTTTGTAGGCTCCACATTTTTTTATCATAAGTGGGGACTTTCATCTGCAGTCATAACTCTGAGTCTTGTATAAATTGGATTTACCTGATTATTTTTTTCTCCTTGTTAACTTTCCAGCCTATCGTTCTTTTATCTCTGCGTTAAGGGAAAACTGCTATGTTTATTTTTAATTATTTAAAATAACACGGACATAGAAGACATAGAAAAGGACAAAAGTGCTGTAGAGAAAAGGCAAACATGACATTGTACAGCAGTTCTACTATGTGTGACTGTTTTTTTAAATTGTATTTAATCAGAGAGTAAAATTCTTCAGATTAGGAATCTCTGTTGAAATGGTGTTCTGGGTCAATATTGACATATAGGTTTTGCAAACCATAATGTTAATCTTTAATATCTTTGGGAATTTTTATGTTATTAATTAGAAAAAAGTAGCGCATTAGGGATAACTAAACTTGTAACTTTGTATCATTTTAAGAGTAATAATCATTTATTATTCAAAACAACACAAAGAAAGTTTAATAGTCAAATAAGTAGTCAGTCTCATTTTTGTGTGTTGACAATTTTCCCAAAGATTTGTTTAATACAATATGTGTTGCCATTAAGACGTTTTCAAATTATCAGACAAAAAGGGATATTTTTGAGCCAAAATGGCCAATAGACTGGAATTTTAATATCATATATAACTATTACTTTTCTACTTCTTTTGAGCACTTGAATCATTTTCCTCAATCATCTGTCTCACCCAAAGATACAACGAGACTAAGGGAGCCAGAGGTCCAACCACCAAGCTTCTGATTAGCAGAACTATCCTAGTCATAGTGTAACAAATCCTCAAAATAATAAGTAGACATATGTGAGGCATATACAGGTTAATAAAAGCTACCATACTACCTACGTGTGTGTGTGTGTGTGTGTGTGTGTGTGTACCCAGTCTTGATTGCAATGTTTGCAAAGGTAATTTAGTCCATTGCTATTTTAGCCTCGCTAACAAAATGAGTAGCTAGTCAGGGGATGACTATGAACTTTGATTCTGTCTTGGACTTATTACCACATATAACTGCAACAATAATATTTGCATTTCCAACACCTACACTTTGAATTCGTTAGATGGTGCATGACGCTTGATAATCATCAGCTTGAGCTAATGATTATCAAGCTCCATTTTTGTCTGCAAGCAGAGTTACACCATAGCAAGTTCAGTCGAATGACCTTTATTTCAACTTTACAATTAACTCAATTTATAGCTATTTATATATTTGAAGTTGTCTTGTTTTTTGAAGAGGTTTGGCAACAGGCACAATGAATATTTCTAATCTTGCTAATTTCTTTCTTTCTTTCTTTTTTACATAAATAGCTGGATTAGGCCTACAACAGTTTATTGGGTGATATTAGCAATTTGCTTAACCAATATCTATCAGCATTTATATGTGTCTGAAAAAAATTGACTCATTTATATCAGAACATCATGAAATATTGGCATTGCTTTCTGTCTTAAAAATCAGTTTGTCTCTAATTTAGATGTAAATGATCTTTACTTCCATTCAAAGATTAAACTCATGAGTGTTAGTAAAAAGCACACTGAATTTTCATGGCAGTGTTTGGAAATGTTTCATTTTGCACACAATTATGAGCAAACAGGCATTCATTTAGCCGGCTGTATGCAGTGAATCAACAAAACCCCAAAACGTGTTGGCATTTGTTATATTCCATAAATGTATGCAAATTTAATTCATTTTGCAATTTTTACAATGCTAACAACAAGATAATTCAGCATTTTATGTCACAGCTTATTGAATACCGATAATTTTCTGTTTAAACCAAATGCAAAATGTAAATACTGGTAAAGGACGAATGTTTATAGTGACTATCTGCAGAAATCAGCAAATCAGCCAGATTTTACTTTTACTGCTGAGCATTACAGCAGTTCCAGTTTTCAAAGCTATACAGGATTCTCAGAAAAAAAAGGATCACTCATGATAGTCATTTCACGGCAATTCGTGTGTGTGTGTGTGTGTGTGTGTGTGTGTGTGTGTGTGTGTGTGTGTGTGTGTGTGTGTGTGTGTGTGTGTGTGTGTGTGTGTGTGTGTGTGTGTGTGTGTGTGTGTTTACTCTGTTGAGCCTCTTATGAATAAGGGCTTTCCTTTAAAAAAAAATATGTTTTGCAACATGTTCAGCTATGATGGTATGGTAAATTAGTGAATTTTGTATTGTCTTATTTAGTCTTTGGCAGTAACATGTAACACTAGTTGTATCTACTGTTGGTAATAGCTAGTAAGAGCAGCAAAAATCAATACAGTTTTCAAATAATTAACTTATTTAAGTATGTATAATTAATATATTGAATGCCTTTAAAATTAGTTTCAAATAGCCGTTAAGGAATTCGAAGCAAGATATAAGCGCATCTCCAATATGAAGCAATTTATCGGCTTAAGACAGATCAGACTTTGTCAAAAGGGCTGAATTATTATGTAAATCCTGTTATATTCTTACTTCAAATAATCACTTGATAGTACCTCATAGGTTTTATGACTGTTAGTTTAGCTGTCAGTGGTTCTCAAACTCTGGTGAGTGTAAAAAATATGGAGTGAAATTGTAACCTAATAGTGTTAACTTCAACAGCACTAAACATTGCTAATTTAATTAGAAAAGGTTGAATAATAGCAAAATGTATTCATAATGATCGGAGAACTTTTATTTGCTACTCCTCTGGTTGGCATGTTCCCAGACAGGAAATACTGAATCATTCATTACTGTCAAATCTCTAACAGGCTCCCTACTGGTGTAGGTGACACCTCAATAAGTAAAACCATTCCCTTTGTTCTCCGGCACAAAAATTCAGAGCGCTGTATAGAAATGGTCACTTACACAATGAGAAACAAAGGGCCATTGCACTCACAAACACAAAGCACAGCAGCTACAGGCAAAGAGTCTCAGCTTCTCTGGTTATTTCCTTTCAATTCCCAGAAGTCACCTTCGCTGATAAAGACCAAGGACTTCTATTTTCTATCAACAGCTTCTGAGGTTTTAGCGATAAAAAGTGAAATGTTGCTGGGGAGTTTGAGAAAGGGACAGTTTCAATGGAAAAGATGATGATGATGTCAAGGTTTTTCTTATGTTCTCGCCACATCTCTTCTTGATAGTTGTGCTAGACATTTTTGGAATCAGTGCATTAGTCCAGGATGTCTGAGTGAAATGCAGCTCTGTTGTCTCTTGGTCGCTCGACAGTTCCAGTATTGGTCAGGTATAATGGTCCTCTTTCACTCAGTTGAAGAGACAGCAGCTTTCTGAACACTTTATCCACAGAGCACATACAAAGTTTGCTCCAGTCATTTTTCAGAACCATATTTAAACAAGAGCCTCTGTTTATAATACAAATCTTCACAGTACATACTTCATGTCTAAATATCATACACATTTGTTATAATATAACTGAATAGAGATACACAGAGATAGCTGAAAACTTAGCTAGTCCACAGAAGCAGCACCTTGACTTCATTTCAGCTTGATCACAATAATATACAAATGCACATACAGGCATCTGTCTGTCAAAGGCTCCCACACTCAGAATGAGAACTCTGACAGGTGGAACCGGACTATTTAGAGAGAAAAATAGAAGAACAGAATCGCTGTACAAATTTAGAGGGAGGAATAGCGCCACACGGTCCACTTCCTCTGAACTGCACAGGTGCTCCCATTTGCTTGGTACTAGGAGAATCCTTGGCATGCCCCCTGTGCTCTTTAGCGTTCATTGATAAGGATTTGAAGGAGTAGCAACAGAAGGCTGAAGGCAGCTTGAAGCATTAGACTGTGAGGTGAGGCAGCGTTTAGGAGACTGTTAGATGACATGGTGGAGTGGCCCACCAGTAATTCATTTCCCAAGACCTGGAAAGAGACAGGGAAGTTAGTCTTTTCATCTTTTCATGACTTCCAATCTCTTTAATTGTTGTAAACACTTTGAGTTTCATGTGTCATTACTGCTCATATAAAAGCAGATTAGTGATTAGGTGCCAAACACAGATATGTGTCATCTCTTGTCAAATACAAATTTATCTCTTTCACCTTTGAAATTTCTCTTTTCATTTTCAGTAAAATTAAAATACTTGGACTTTGTGGGAGCTACACAAACATTTCAAAGAATGTGGTTCATACCTGATGTGCTCATTTGATTGTTTCCCCCACCTCCTGGTCTAGTCTGTATTGGAACCTGCTATTCAGCAGTCTTCTGCAGCTTCTGTACTACATCTCTACCTAAAGTACATCTCAATATAAACTATTCAGTAACCACTTTAACTTAAATCCATCTTGTTCCACTCCCATTGAATTTTTACATATTTATTTTCTTATTTCACAACAAGACACTCAAAGTAAAGTTTTTAGTTATCATCATTGTATACAAAAGCTATGCAGTGAAGCAATGTAGCCCAAATTTGCACTTCCCAATGCAAATACAGGCAGCAACTTGGGTGAAAAATGTGTTTAAAGCTGCACCGTGAAAAACCCTATCAGCTGGGACTCTCCTACAGACAGTGGTGTGTGTGTGTGTGTGTGTGTGTGTGTGTGTGTGTGTGTGTGTGTGTGTGTGTGTGTAAGGCGTAGATAAAAGTGCTGCATAACTGTGTGGCTAAATGAGACTTGTAGTAAGAAAGCAGTCTGAGTGCTCAAACAGACACGCTGTAAGTACCAGGCCATTCTCTCCTGCTGCTACCAATAATCACAGGACAAACTTAATGATACTTTTAAACTTTGCTTTTACATAGAGAAAGGGAGAAAAGGATTCAGCCTAAAGACAAGTGAGCAAAAATGTAGAGCTTAATGGTACATAAGTACAAAAATCTTTCTATAACTAGAATCTATCTATTATTGTACCTGTTTAGGGATTTGTAATGTGGCTATATTCACAAAAGTAATAAAAAGGACAATTTAGCTTTGCTTGTGGTTGACCGTGAGGACTGAAGTAAAGCTAAAGTGGAAGCAAGAGCTGCTTCCACTGCTGAAATGCAGTGAGAAGACCCTCACACACAATCGCGTTTTGAAATGGTTTCTGTGTCAGATTAGGTGATCATAGTCAAAAATGTAATATATTATATTGTAATGTATTATACTTAATGTCCTCCCCAAGAAAAATGGCTGGCTGCAGTGCTACATTGGACCTTGAACATGCGCAGCCTGGTGCACATGGATGTGCCAAAGACTAGCTGCAGTGGTCCATTGAATATTTATGTGTGCAACTTACATTTTTATGAATAAAATTTAACCTAGGCGCCACAGATCATCACTTGGCAATGAAAACAGTATTTTTTATACTTCTCATTCTGAATAAAGAGAGTGAACTTGCTATTGTGCTGTATGTGTATGCAGAAGTTAAAATGCACTACATATTTATTTGCACTGAAATGAATTAACAAAAAGGTAAACCTTATTTCGAGACTTCCTAATCAGCACCCCATGTCAGCTTGGTTAGGGTATTATCTGGCTAGTATTGTGTTGCCTAATGCAAGTATTAGCAGCAGTATTAGTTATAAAAGTGTCCCATGATGGTCCTATATAAGGGTGAATTCAAATGTCTTGATGCATGTTCAATCATCCAGGTAAGTAAAACTCCAAAAGTTGATCCTGTTCATCTGGACGAAGCGTTTTCAGTGGGAGAAACGTTTCGTCACTCATCCAAGTGACGGCTTCAGACTGATGAGTGACGAATACTGATGAACAGAATCAACTTTTGGAGGTGAATTCAAATGTTTATACCTTAAAAAAATGGTCATATTAACACGATTTATGTCATTTTCATCAGACAAATTCCATTTGGAATACGGAAAATGAGCAGCTGAAACAATAACACAGACAGCAACAAATCTCACTGTCATTGTCTCGGTCCTGTACAAAATAATTTCAGAAGCCTACAATGTTGCACATCTGAGAAAGTTGTTTTGCCAGAAATGGTTCACTTCTAAACGTGGGATTTTGTAGAGATGCAAGAAAAGAATGACGAGAAAACTGCACACCTGTGTTGGTATTATTGTATCCAGAATGTTCCTCATAGTTTCTATGGTTCCGGGTGGAGAGGTGGTGCTGCTGTTTTCTCTTCTGCCTTGGCTGGTTGTGCTGTACTGGCTGTGAGTCGGCTGTTGGTCTGATTCCCTTCCAAACATCATGAACGCATTACCTGAAACATTAGATATAGCAGTAAAAAACGTTACTATTCCTCAGCAGCAGCACCTTGGTGTTTTCATTGAGTTACATTCATGTCTTATTCAGTCATGACAGATGCCTCCTGTTCTGCGTTGTAAATCTTGCATAAGAGGTTCTCCTAGGCCAAGGCCAGTTTGGATTTGGACAGCATAGGAGAAAAGGAAAAAAGAAAGGCGAAAATACTCAGTATTCTCTTCAAGCATCCAAACTGCACCTGCCTCTCCACATCGACCTCATTAACACTTAGACCGTTTGCACTGGCCAAATAACTGTGAGACGTCTCTGTATCTTTTCTAGGCAGGGGGCCCGAGGAAAGACTGGCCAAAGATTCACCTCGCTACACATACCAAAGATATTCTCAATGTGTACAGGTTCTGTGATAGATATATGCTTGCCAGGGTCAGTAATAAGGACATTCATTATTCACACTCCAGAGCAGAGGTCATAAAAATATGAAGGAAAGAGAGGAAGTTTAAAAATTTGCATGGAAAACAAAGAGACTAGAGAAAGACATAATGCAAATACATGTATGGCAATGGTGACTAATTTATGTTGTGTCAGCTGAGAGTGTCTGAGAGTTACAGTTTAAAAAAGCATTATATACATTATATACAGGGAGTGCAGAATTATTAGGCAAGTTGTATTTTTGAGGAATAATTTTATTATTGAACAACAACCATGTTCTCAATGAACCCAAAAAACTCATTAATATCAAAGCTGAATGTTTTTGGAAGTAGTTTTTAGTTGTAGCTATTTTAGTTTTTGAATGTCAGAAATATACATTTCTGACATTCAAAAACAAAACAAAAACAAATCAGCGACCAATATAGCCACCTTTCTTTGCAAGGACACTCAAAAGCCTGCCATCCATGGATCCTGTCAGTGTTTTGATCTGTTCACCATCAACATTGCGTGCAGCAGCAACCACAGCCTCCCAGACACTGTTCAGAGAGGTGTACTGTTTTCCCTCCTTGTAAATCTCACATTTGATGATGGACCACAGGTTCTCAATGGGGTTCAGATCAGGTGAACAAGGAGGCCATGTCATTAGTTTTTCTTCTTTTATACCCTTTCTTGCAGCCACGCTGTGGAGTACTTGGACACGTGTGATGGAGCATTGTCCTGCATGAAAATCATGTTTTTCTTGAAGGATGCAGACTTCTTCCTGTTTCTTGGCCCAGTCTTGACGTTTCAGCTTGTGTGTCTTGTTCAGTGGTGGTCGTCTTTCAGCCTTTCTTACCTTGGCCATGTCTCTGAGTATTGCACACCTTGTGCTTTTGGGCACTCCAGTGATGTTGCAGCTCTGAAATATGGCCAAACTGGTGGCAAGTGGCATCTTGGCAGCTGCACGCTTGACTTTTCTCAGTTCATGGGCAGTTATTTTGCGCCTTGGTTTTTCCTGTTGACTATTTTGAATGAAACGCTTGATTGTTCGATGATCACGCTTCAGAAGCTTTGCAATTTTGAGACTGCTGCATCCCTCTGCAAGATATCTCACTATTTTTGACTTTTCTGAGCCTGTCAAGTCCTTCTTTTGACCCATTTTGCCAAAGGAAAGGACGTTGCCTAATAATTCTGCACACCTGATATAGGGTGTTGATGTCATTAGACCACACCCCTTCTCATTACAGAGATTCACATCACCTAATATGCTTAATTGGTAGTAGGCTTTCGAGCCTATACAGCTTGGAGTAAGACAACATGCATGAAGAGGATGAAGTGGACAAAATACTCATTTGCCTAATAATTCTGCACTCCCTGTATATAGACATTTCAACAAATATCAGCAAGTTCTGCAAGGAAAGCTGTAGCATCCTTGTTACATGGCTACAGATAATCAAAGAGTGTGTCAGTGTACTTTAGTTTAACAGTTTCAAGCACTTTGGTTAGCAACACTATAAAAATAAAGTTTGGCCTATGTTATCTTATAAAGGTAAACAACAAAATGCTCACTACGTAAGTCAACAAACGTATCAGCATTGTTTCCCTCTTAAATAACAGGAGAACCTGGCAGATTAAATGCATGTACAGATGTGTGTAAAATACCTTTAAATTAACAATGAAGAATAAGTTAAAAGAATAAACATAAAACCAAAGTTCAAATGCAGCCTATACTTGCTAATTTGATAGTATAGATAGTATAGTACAAATAGGTGCTCTGTTTTAAAGATCAGATATCAATCAGATCTTTAAAGAATCTTTAAGATTCTCTTTAAGAAAGAGGTTTTTACAAGTATCTAAAGCAGGAAAGGACTATTAGTTTTCCAGAGCTTCCATAAGACACACGGGGCAGTCCCAATTTCTCATGTGGCCCCTTGAGAAAATTAATTGCCCACTCCTTTTCTAAACTCTTTTTTTTCTTTCAGAGGTGAGCAAGAAACAAATTCTTAGACACAATTTTTATCCCTTTTTTTGTTTGTTTGTTTCTCTTGGGCTACTAGAAATTTTAAAGTAATGTTATTGTTCTTTAGACCTTGATATCTTATGTCTGTGAAGGTTCTCAGTCATCCAGGTCATTGTAGTCAAAGGAGCTTGCAAAGAAAAGCGTCTTTCTACCTACCCACCAAGGTCTGAGGGATCTTCCAAGAATGGTGTGATTGTTTTCCTGAGCACTGATTGGTCAGTAGACAGTGCTTTTGCACATTTATCTCTTTTTTGATCACTTTAACACACCTGGGGAATTAAAAAATTTCCAAAATCTTCAACAGCATTTATTTTCCATCAGTTCTTTAAATAAGATATGATAAGTTTTAAATAGGCTAATAATTACAGGGTTGCTTACATATAATTCAGTTAGAAGTGACTGTCTGAAAGAGCAGGTGGAATTACCAAGAAACCACATAAAGTGCAAATGATCGTGCAACATTTAAAAAAGTGTTTTGTTTCATTCATAAATGAAAGAATGAACCAGAGGGAGTGAGAAAGACCACACTCTGAATTTTACAAAGAGACCCTTGATTTAAACACATCTCTCTCTGTGCCAGTGATGAAGTATGCTGGAAAACATTTTTCTCACTGAATCCCAACAGCTCCATCCTATCATTATGCCTGCCATGGAGCTTAATTTGGTTTTCATATCAAGCCCCTTGAATGTCCTGTATTACAGGTTATCAGTGAAAATTATACTGATTACAAAATTCATTTTTTCTGTTTTATCTTACAAATGAAATTACACTGCTCAACCAGGAGTTAAGTGGAAGGATGTGAAACCACAGAAATCAGAGCGAGCCAGCAATTTGGGAAAACAGGATTTGTTTCATCTCTACAGTTGCAGGCTCTGTCTTTTTACCTGTGCCAGATGCAGTTCAATTTCACATAAAGTAATGTACTATATAGTGAATATAATATGAAATATAAATGAGCAAAATTGTTAATATCCCCAGTAAGTCTCCCTGAAGTTTAACCCCTAACTTCATTCTGTAAACACTGAGTGGGTGGATGGAGCAGGGTGTATTTGTTTGTGTATGTGTACCTGCATGCATGTCCATTTTCATCATTGCTCCTGATTTTCCTGCACAAGTTCCCAACAGTGTTACATTTCATGCACTTACACCTGTCATCCTGTACATCCTGCACACTTTACCCTCTTTTTTGGGAACTACTCAAATCGACTGCAAGTCAGTGGTGGAACGCAGCACTTTGCCTGTGTTACTGTGTATCCATCAAGACAGTGAAAAGATTTTGAACTCAGAAATTGTAGAAGAGAGGCGAATTTGGAAGATAATGAATGCAAGGCCTTTTGCTTTTATTGGATAGGACAGTGTAAACTCTAGTTAGAAGGGTGGGGAAGGAGTGTATGTGTGTGGGGGGTAACCCATAGGAAATGGTCTGGGGCAGAGTCAAACTCTCTGTCTAAATAAATAAATAAATCTTGTTACGATTCGGTGTTGTCAGTGTTTTGTTTTAGGCGTGACTGTTATGTGTTTCCTGCTTTACTCTGAAAGTCTGTCTTATCTCAGTGTGTTCAGTTTACGCTTCCTTGTCTCGTCAGTTCTGATTTGCCCCAGCTATGTTTCCCTCCTGTTGTCCATTCCCTGATTGCTCCCTCTATGTATTTAAGCCCTGTGTTTCAGTTTGTCAGGTTGGTGATCTTCCCCCCTGGTTGTAAATAGTTTGGTGTTTTGATGTAAATAAATGTCTTAGTTTGCTTTGATGTAAATAGTTGTCGATACTTTCGTTTTGGGATTTTTTTGTGGAGACCCGTAGTAGTTTTTTTTGTTTTGTTTTTTTCCTTTATTTTTATTTTCCCTGTGTTGCACGCCGGTTCCCTAGGCCGGGGTGTAACAATCTGGGTAAATTGCCAGATGATTAAACATGCAACTATTTTGCTGGTAATACCTGAAATTAGGAAAGAAAATCAACAGCCTATTTATGCAAAATAATTCGTAATTTTATTGAGGGAGTTATATTGGAGGGGTCATAACCCCCCTAACCCCCCTGGAAATTACACCCCTGTGCTCAACCGTTTAAGGCAGGGCTGCCCAATCCCAGTCCTCGAGAGCTACTATCCTGCAGCTTTTAGATGCATCCCTACTCCAACACAGCTGAATCAAATGGTTTGATTACCTCTCCAGCATGCCATCATGTTTGGCAAAGGCCTGATAACAAGCCATTCATTTGATTCGGGTGTGTGGGAACAAGGATGCATCTAAAAGCTGCAGGACGGTAGCTCTCGAGGACCGGGATTGGGCACCCCTGGTTTAAGGTATAGCAATGCATATGACAAGGATGAGCTTGACCATAATTTATGCCGAGAACAAGCCCAACACCAGCAAGGAGAGAAAACTGTTGAAATTGATTGGCCTTCTTCCCCAAGGAATGAGCGACCCCGCAGAACTGCCAGCATGGTGCAACCATGACCAGGACCTCAAATCTGATTAAGAACTTTTCATCCCAGATGCCACTAAAATTCATCAAGAAATGTTCCCTGTTCTAAATTCTGTTCTAGATCCAGTGACAACAAATATATAAGAGCTGCAATGTGTGACAAAACAAAATGGGCAGGCAGTCACAGTATACTTTCATCAAGTGTAGGAAATACATATGCAAGACCCAGCAAAATAGTCCCTCATGTGTCATATAGATCAGCAGACACGGGCTATTTGTTTTCCAGAGTGGCACTAATCTAGTCCGTTTCACAGAAGTAAACAGTTAGTTACCAGAAAACCTTCCTTCATTTATATTTGTTCAAGATAAACATATTTCTTTCTGCCTACAGTATATCTTGATTATGATTGATTTTTCTTTTTTCATTACATTTTGTCACGAGTATCACTTCTGTACATACGTGTGTTTTAACAGCGGTAAATTCTAAATATTAACCATACATGTGGTCTCCAATGCTTGCCATTGAGAAAAAGTAAACATCCATAAACTGCTATGGTTGTACCCCGCGTCTCGCCACGTGGCGGCTGGGAAATGCTTCAGCGCCAGCAAGTCCCTGACATGGATAAGCGGAAGAGAATGGATGGATGGTTGTGGTTGTATTGATTTAATAACACAATAAATGTTGGCAGAGTAACAAAAATATTGACATTACACAGGCAAGGGTTAATCTATAAACCAAAACTTACAAAAAAGGCGCATTAACCCTTTCTTTTGAACCACATATCACCAGTTAAACAGGCTGCCAACAGCATAGTCTAATGATTTATTCCCAAATATCTCTAAATGAACACAATCCTACAACAAAAACCTGAGTCTGTGCACTACTTTGTTGACATTAGAGTAAAAAGGTAGCACTCACTGAGACAGATGTTGTCTGTGAAATATCCCAGGAAATTCTCACACTCTTCTCTCTGGCTCCCACTGGCTGAGCATGAGCACCATGGGGCTACGCTGGACGTGGAGTTGTCAACATAGTTGGGAGTTATTGTACTTCCTGCAGAGAGACGGCGCCAGCTGTCAATCAATATTAAATGCGCATTGCTTTTGAGTTGTTACACTGTAATCATGATGCATTATTTTCTGAAGCCTTAATGGACTCTGCATTCCCTATACACTGACCTGATGTAAAAGCATGGTAATATTATAACACCACAGGTTAGATTAGCTGCAGTCATATTATATAATAGAGTGATGCTGAAAAATGCTCCAATTTTCTCTTTTTTAGGTCACAGAAGTCTCTGGCATTGAGATTGTTTTCTGTTCCCCCCCGCGCCCCCCAACATAGTGTTGGTGGGATTTCAAGTACTTTAATAAATACAAGACAAGAATGAAAACGCCAAGTGTGTGTTTGTGCTGAGGGGCACCATTTGAGATTCTTGAAATGCATTAGGTTAGCTCCTCTTTCCAGTGCATGGAAAAGAAATGTCTGCTCTACCTGCTCCTTTTCTTTTGCCACCTGTTATAAAACAGATTAAACCTCACTCTGCATAAAGAGCTTCAGTTTTTTCTGCAATGAGAGATATTTATACTTATACCATCTTATACCAAGCTGAACTTTGTCTTTTCGTTCTCCCACTCAATCTTAACCTGTTCTGTATTTATTAATTTAGCTTCTAGCTAGCTTTTGCTCATTCCGGTGCATTTAAGGCTGCACAGTTTTCTCTTTCCTTCTCTCTCCCAACATATGCCACACAGCGTCACTTACATACTGTCTTTTTCCTCCTACAGGTGGTGATTTTATGTTTTCGACTGTGTGTTTTCGCTCTCTGTGTTACATTCCAGATGTTCACATACCTATAAGCCCTGTGTAGGCAAGGAGGCAGGCTCTATAGTTCTCTTGCTTGCAGCCACTGGCAGATGTTTTGGACGGTTCACAGTCATACTGAAACTGTGCCAGACGAGACCTATAAAAACACAAAATGCATACTAGTTAGGAAGAACACAACAGAACTCTACATTTTTATCTAAAAGGTTTGCTGATTTCATTTTTACATATCATTTCTTACTCTAAGTAACTTAAGTTATAACTCAGTCATTTAATTAAGAGTTTGCTGCTCCAACATTAAAGAAATATTGCAGGCCAAGGTGAAGAGTGAAAGCACTGAGCTGTAATGTGAAAGTGATAGAAGAGTAATATATTTCATTCCCCAGACCTGGGATCATTAGTAAAGCCCTCTGAGTCTAATGGGGCTGTGGAAAAATAATGGCCATGACCAGAGATAGCAATGAGTGATAACTCTGATCCATCTGGCTCTTTATCTGTGCTAAATATTTAATGTGTTATTCCAACAGGCTCTCTGGGGTGTTCTAACCACTGGTGGTACAAAGCTTTAGGGTAAAACAGCAGGCCATTTTGTTGATTGAGTGGCTGTTTATTTAGTTTCAAAGAGCCATACGATTGAACAGCACTGGCCTAAATATGTATGGAGAATACAAGTAAAATCTATATCCAAGAAAAACAAGAGAAACTAGAGTATTTAGCAATATCAAAGCTGGAGTAAACAATTATCTTAGTGCCGTGTGTTGCTGTATCAAAATAAGATGCATAGTGATAAATGCTTTCCAACAAAAAACTTTTACTCATGTAGGTTGCTGAAGAAGGCTGCATTTAGAAACTTTTATTTTTTTCTTCTTCTGGGAGAAAATGCCATCTGCAATTGATTAACTAGTTGGTAATACCCTCGCTCTTACTTTGAAAGAGTCGTTTTTGCTGTTCAGTCCTTTCCGTTTCCTGCTTTCTCACCAGCTACCTTCTCCAGAGAGAAACTCTAACTTCAGTAGCTGGTGATGTTAGTCTTGTTCTGCCCTGGAAAATTTACTTCAGGCTTGAATTACCCTCTAGCCAGAACCTGTAGCAGGTGAAAAACTGGTTTTGGCTCCAAAGCAGAACAAGAAGTACAACCGTGACCTCACTGGGGAGGTGTCTGACTATATCTGCTGGTTATTTATTTCCCAAAAACTGAAAAAACTGTTGAAAAATTATATTTGTAAGGAGAAACCAATAACATGTTGATATTATATAAATAATTTACGGATGCAAGCAAACCTCCTTTATGTTTTGATGCATACATTTGCCAAGTGGAGTCTGTTATTAGTCTATTATTACGTATTTACTTCTGTTCCTACCTGCACACATAGTCAGCTTTGCAGATCCTCATCTGTGCAATGCAGTTGGGTTTATCCACCGTTTCATACGAGCAGCTGGGCACAATGGTCTGCCTTCGACGCTCTGCACAGGCTGTGTCCGTACATGGGCAGAAGAGCAGCTCATGTGTATAATCAGCAGGAACACGGTCAAAGAACCTGCGCAGGGCCTTATTGCATTTGGGCCGGTTGCACAGGCCTGACTTGGCAGTGGGTTTGATACAAGCCGAGACATATTCTGTGCGGAGCTTCTGGCACAAGTCGTCCACATTGCAAGCCTTGGCTGCATCCAGGCAGCGATTCACAGTTGTCATGCCAACATCAGAGTCTGTGGACGGAAGTAAGGTTAGTGACAAGGTTTCAACAGAAAACTAATCGAGAGGTTTTGTGTGTATGTGAATGAGAACATAAGCATGTACTAGTTTACCAATTCATCCTGATGAGATGTAATCTCCTGTTGTTAAAACATCAGATAAGGAGTTTGGAATTGAACATCAGGTTTAAGGAGGAAGTGTGTGTGTAAACAAAAAATGGGGGACTTGTTTTTGACTATCAGAAAAACAAAAGGAGCATCAGACGAAGAGTCTGGCCTTCAGTGCTTTGAACATAGCACAATGTCATAATTTTGAATGATTGGTTGATTGCTTTATTTCAACTCTATATTTAACACCCCTCTATGACCTTATACTGGAGAAATTTTTTTTTTAAGTGTTTCATATTTGGTAGAGCGCAGTGATTAGCACTATTGCCTCACATCAGAAGGTCCTGAAGGTGCGAATCGAGCCAGGGCCTTTCTGTGTGAGGTTTGAATGTTTCTCTGTGTTTGTCTGGATTCTCCCCTTTGCAGTCCAAAGACATGCAGCTAGTAGGGTTAGGTTAACTGGTCTGTCTAAATTGCTCATAGATATGAATGAGTGTGTGAATGGTTGTCTGTCACTCTGTTAGCCCTGTGACAGACTGGAGAACTGTCCAGGGTCTACCCTGCCTCTGGCCCTATCATAACTGAGATGCGCTCCTTTAATCTGAATATTGTGAATCTTTGAATTTAATTTGCCTTTTAAATTGTACCCCGTCCCCCAGCCCAACAGAAAAATTATGAACACTCAATTGTTCCTTTTTTTCTAATTTGAATTCCACAGGGTCGCAGAATTTAAACATGACAGTAAGAAAAGAAAAATTGTGCTTTCACAAAACCCAGTAAGACATGCAATTCTTGTTACTTTTCTGCAGAATGTACACCAGAACGTTTACATGTATTTACCCACACCTCCACAAAGTAGGTTAAAGAAGGTATTACCAGAGAACAGTAAAGAATTTTAATGTATTATTATAGAGTCCTTAACTTACGACATAAAGCGCCTTGGAGTATTTGTTTTACTGATTTGGTGCTTAAAAAAAACCTGAATTAAATGCAAAGTGATTTCTGAGTTGCCATGTCCTTTGCTTTAGACAAGACTGAAATGCTTGTCAACAGCTAAAATACTTCACTATCAGACTTTTAACTACTTACTTTTTATCTTTTACTTTACAAGATCTCATCTTCCATTTCTTATTTCATGGTGACTGTAAATCTTCAGTCGTATGTAACATCCAATAGCACAGGTACACAAACTTATTGTAACAAGTTATCTTTTGCATCAGAACACTATTGTTATACTAATGTAATATTGAATTAAAGGTTTTGACATCTAAAATTAAGAGTCTATGAGGTAAAATTTTAGATGTCATGACTAATTATAAATTAACATGAAACATAACATGTTTCATTATATTATAGGTAAAATATATCAAAATCATTAGGAGTTTTTTGTTTGTTTGTTTTTTTAACTAAGGATGTGTTGGATTATAATGCCCTGCATATAAGTTACTGTTCACTTATACTTCCTGTTTTTTCTTACTGTGTGGAACTGTGGGGCATGACCCTCAAAACAATAAATCCAATAGTTATGTTACAAAAAAAGAGTAATAGGGGTCATTAACAAGTCTGGATATTATGATCACACTGAGCCATTGTTTCTCAGGTTCGATATGATGAAACTGGTTTAAATTAAATGCAAACAAATGAAATGTGTTGTTGTTGTTGTTGTTGTTGTTGTTGTGTGTGGTGTTTTTTTTGTTTTTTTTTTAAACAATGCTAATTAAGTTCAAGCTAAATCTAAGGTACTCTCAAACTGCGTGTGAAGGTTTTTCTCAGTGTGGGAGATTAAGTTTGACTTGAGAGATTTTTTTTCTATTTTATTATAATAAAGCAAAGAAAGAGATTCAACAAAGATTTATTTCTGTTGTTGGGATTAAATTGTGGAATGATGTTAATATGTGCATAAAAATGTGCAATTCATTATTCTGTTTGTTGATGTTTGTTAATGATAAGAATATAGGCGGGGCATAAATATAGGGACTACTGAGCCTGTTCAGTGATTTATTAGTATTATTATTATTATTATTGAAGAGTGTTATTTTTTTTTTGCTCGTAATATATGACGACTGAACTAATAAATATATATCAAATATCAAATATTTCTGTGTAGATCTGCCACTGAAATGAGCAGCACAGTGATTGCAGCTTTTGCTACTTTGTGACAATTTGTGAATGAGCCTTTGGGATTTATGTTGGGAAATGTGGAAGTGAGCTGACCTCTGTGAGTTGTGTACTTCAGAGATGAGTGATAAGCTTGTTTACATATATATATTTTTAAAGCTGGCAGGTCCTCTGGTCAAACTAGATGAAGACAGCGGTGCAGTTTATGAAATGTCAACGGAGAAAAGTCAGCAATATTTTAATAACTGATTTATTTTTAGTTCTTTTTTTGGGCTAAATGCCAAATATTTGGTCCCAGTTTTTAACATAAACATTTGCTACTTGTGTTCATTATTTATGAATTTGGTTTTGTTGTGTTGGTTCCAGTCCCATTCCCAGCAGATTCATATAATGTAGAGCCAAAACATGGCTTTGGCTCTTGATAACAATGACCACATCAGTATCAAAACCTGATTTCAGCTGTTCTTAAATAAAACTTTGCCTCATTTGATAAGGGATATTTAGTTCAGTCTGTTGTCATTCGGTGTTATATTAAGCTAGTATGTTCTTTTCATAGGCCAGATTTGGAATAGTCACTTATTTTAAGACAGTAGTATCAAAAAATGCCTCCATTAGTATGCTTTGACGTTCATGGATTATGTTATTTCAGCTGAGTCTGAGATGTGAATGTTTATATTGGGCATGTTTACAGTGAAAAGGCTTTGGCGTAATGTTGTATACTTAATAGAACACAAACATCTTCAAAGGGTAAAGGGGTTTACAATATGGTGAAAGTTAATGAAGGTTGGTGAACTTGCCAGCAGAAATAGAGGCCAAGCGGACATAGTTGTAATCCCTCTCCACTGTCTCATAAGGGTAACTCTCCACCAGCTTGAGTCCTGGGGGAAAAAAACAACACACAGTTAGGAATAAAGGCTTCAGTAGGCACTACAGTTTATCTAAATCTCAAGAAACACAAATAATGGCATGTAGTCATTTTTATTTAGTCACTGAGACTCCAGTTCACTCAGTCATAAATTACACACACATTCCCTCAGCTTATTATTCATTTGTCAGGGTTATTGTGTTATTTTCAACCCACTCGCCAATGCTGGCATTTACGTTTCTGTAGCCACATGTATAATCCAAACATTTCTCAACCTAAAAAGGGTTTCATATCTATATTTATATCGACATTGCGGTATTTTTAAACACTCATGGTGCTCTTTGTTTTCAGAAAATAGAATGGGGGTAAGTATAATAACATCTATGAACATAAATAACAAATGATATACTTTATTGTACACCACATGTGGAATCCCCCAGTAATCCAGTCCTCTTATACAGGCTTGCTTACAGCCTCTGGCCACAATTTAATTTTCCGCCACACACTTCCTGTAGACCTTTTCATGAAATATGAACACTAGTTGCATTCTTAACGGTGCCTCAAAATAACTGATTCTTGATTAATTGTTTAGGTTGACACTGAGAACAGTTCACTTTATTTACAAATGTCTGGAATCTATCTATTATCAGTGACAAAGTATTCCTTGGGGAGCCATGAGAAGACTGGAACCAGCCTTTCAGTAGGAGAGTGCTCCTCTGTCTGTTATCCTCCTCAGCCTGTTGCTTCTTGCTTTGATTTTCTGCTGTGCCATGTTGTTTGATGAACAGCGCAACTGATATATGAGCCTCTATTGGCCTTTCACAGATAAATAAGCATCGGTGTGTATGTTATCCAATATGTCTGTTTTTTCTTTTTACTGAATCTAATGTTGATAAATTGCATTTCATTTAAAATTTCTCTCTCATAGGTTACCCAGCAGAGTGCCTTCGACTTTATTGCTGGCTGTACCTTTCAGCACTGCCCACACCACATACGATACTATCACAGCAAAGCGGACGGTGGTGAAAAGTCATGCAGTGTCTTTGTAGTAAGTTGCCAATTAGGTTGCAAAAACATTGCTTTAAAGTTAATAAATATCTCATTATTTTCCCTTTACTTCAATGTAACTTTAACATGATCTGTGTTTATCCGGTATAACAGCCTGTGACCCGAGCTCTGCTTCACAACGCATTTTAAATTTCACCTAGCTATTCCAAATAGTATTGAAACTAAGCATTAACGTAAATTGTTGTTGTTGTTTTTTAAGTAACAATGTAACAAATGATAAAACACTGAGTAGAATGAATTATAAGGTGCAGAAAAACCAAATGTAAGGTCCATATGAGGGCATAGGGTGTCAAGAGGGTAGCAGAGTATTGGCTGGTGTATGATTACTAATTTTTTATTTTTTTTTTAACGCTCTGGATCTGCATATGCACCCATACAAACAGTATTGGTCAGGCTCTAATCTGACATAGTCCATACTGGCCACATATACATTCCTGCTATCCATTTTAGCCAAAGATAATCTGTTCAAAGCCTGTTCTTTTATTCTGATCATTCTTTTGTATGTATCAATGGACTCTCATGTACATATATACATCAATGCTGACAGTGTTTATTATCATTAGTCGTGACTTCTGATCACCACCTCCTGGGAGACACTGTCTCTGCCTGAGAATGGTAGACAACCGAAAAAACAACAGCAAAAAAAGAACATTTAAAAAATATAGAAAAAAAAAGAAATGGCTGAAGTGCTTAAGTGATATTCTATAAGCTAAGCTAACCGGTCTGGATGCTAATTTATCTATAAATTACGTATGACTTTGAATGCTTGACAATTTTCTTAATTATTTCTTTGCTTCATCATAATGTTGTGTTTTTAAAAAGCCAAGAACCAATTGTTTCTGCAGGTGGTAAGAATATGCTTTCATGCCACAGAAACTAAATTCTGGCCATACGTAGGTCTATAAACAAGGGCATGTACACAGCCTGGGTGGCTTCCAAACATAAATGTATTTCATTGCTCCACATAGGTAATGTATGCTAAAAACATGTTACCTGACAAACGGGCAAATGGTTGTTACGCCCAACCTTCATTTTATTCCATCAAAATGGCAAAGCCACCAGTTTACATGCTGTAAAATGTATACATATAACGAGAAACACATTTTGGTTCAGATAGATTGTGTGTGTGTGTGTGTGTGTGTGTGTGTGTGTGTGTGTGTGTGTGTGTGTGTGTGTGTGTGTGTGTGTGTGTGTGTGTGTGTGTGTGTGTGTGTGTGTGTGTTAGATACCATGTATGATAGACTGGTGCAGACTCCAGTAGATGCTTAGACAGTTCTTCTCCTTCTTCATTCCTCGTTTACATTGGCAGCCATGTAAAGGACTGGACAGCAGAGCAGACACGGCACTGGCACACTGGCTCCTGGCGCCCGGGCCCAGTTTCATGCTGCCATTGCCTGCCACACACTGGCGCAAAGTACGAAGACGTGGACTACAAGTCTCATCACTCGAGCACGAGTCTCCGGCCACCAAGCAGTCTCTACTGGCATGTACAACCTCTAACAGAGCTGTTTCAGGAAAAAATGAGAGAAATGTAGAAACATGAGGGGATTGGAAAAAGCAGTTAATGTGTAAGATCATGAGATGAAAAAAAGACCCATGCTAATGCAGACCAATAGTGCATAAGAAGAAAGGGGAAGGAAAGAATTGACACTTTGAATAAATTGTAAAGTGTTCTGAAAAGTACAGAATTTTAAAACAGCCGGAGATTTTATTATTAAATCCTGCCAATGTAATGGTTGAGGTGAGCAGGACAATGAACGAGTTTACTCTGTCTTTTGTATATTTCATGCTTGTGTGGTAACATATTGACCATTTCATTCTAAAACCAAGTGAAATATAACTATTACTCTGTTTGTTTCCATAGCTTCCATTAATATTTTAACAGAAATGCCTAAAATGACCACTGCAAAATTACAGTGAACAAATCCCCTGCAACTGTTGATGGAAAACCCCCACCTGCAAACAAGGTCACTCTTTGCTCTTGCCATTATGAATTTTTATTCCATTGTGGTTTCTTGTTTGTAAAACTTCCCCAAAACCTAGAAAAATGAGCTTTGCTTCTCATGGTTGGGTCTATGAGCCAAATAGGGCAGCGGAACATTTTTGGACAATATGCAGTTGGCCACATGATAAAAGAGAAGACACAATAGTAAAAAACCAACTGAAGTTTGATGAGAGATTATTTCCAGACAGCAGTCGGTTGATATTGAACTTAAAATCACCTAATGAATCAGCATGTTTCAGACCTGACTAAATATAACAGATGAAGACTTTAAGCTTTGAGTTATAATAATTTAATATAAACCTAGAAATGGACATGATATGTCGACACATCAAAGAGGAGAAAAGGAGTCTTGATAGTTAAAAGCATGAATTAATACGTCTTTGTGTCCAGAAATGGAAAATAGAGTTTTGCATAAAGTATATCAGATCTTTTTGTTGAGGTTCAGTATTTCTTTCACACAGAGTTTCTCTTTACGTCAGAAAAGTACGAACTGAAGAACTGAGCACACCTACTCTGAAAACAAACCTATTACTTTATAGGTTTGTTCAAATTCAGTGGATAACTGGATGACATGTATTTGGACTATTCAGTACCTTGCAAATGGCCCTGCAGGCTACAGCATTTGCTGCTTTATTGAGAAGAGAACAGCTTCAAGGATGAAGATATGAAAATAATGTCTCTGCATATTAAATGTGCATGTATTTTATTCAGTTACTGTGGGAAACCTCTTGAATGGCAGACCTATACAGATGCTAATTCATGTCCTTAACAATTCATTACCAGACCTTGTCCCGAGTAGCTTGGACTCCTACAGTTGTACTGCATGACTCAAGCTCATTCTATTCAATATGCTGAGGTTCTTGAACCTCCAATGAGTGTCATTTACAGAACATGCTAAGAACATTATTGATTAAGAGGAACACACACACATTCATCTGTTGCTTTGGTGAAGAAAGGCTTTTAATTAAGGTTTAGAATAAAGTGAAATAACCTCCAAGCAAAAGGCTTTTTTCTTTCTTCTACAGCCAACTGGGCTCTGTTGTTTGTGTTAACATTCTGTCCACTTTTGTCAGATTTCTCAGAATATGTTTTTGTCTATTTAAGTCACAAACCCCTTTAAGTGCTGCCATTTCTAAGGATGCTCCTTGTGTACATTTGTATCTTAGGGAAATTCTGTAAACATATTCCTTAGCATGGCCTGCAGGAAACCAATTGTATCTTTTTATTCAAACAGTGAAAAATCATACCACCTTCATTTCACATGAAATCTTTTACCCCATCAGCTAAAACCACATTTTTCCATTTCATGCTGTTTTCATCTGCTTACACAGCGGGTATTTCTGGGGCAACATTGTCTCAGCTACCGTTTTGATCTCTAAAACATATATGCATACTCAGGAACAATGTATTAAAAAACAAATAATTTTCCATTCAGTCAGCACTATGCTATCAATTACATCTCCTTCCAAAGCTGGAGCTTTACTCAAACCCCACAGGTGTCCTGCGTCTCACTCACATCAGGAGTTATGCATACGCTCATATTCTATTCATCACATACCAGCTAAGCGCAGACATGTGGATGCTGGGTTGGGGAAAAGTTGCAGCCAATGCCAGTGTCCTGGAAGGCCAGATGGTCAGTTGCAAATTTATCCCAAGCCTTTCTTTACAGCTATGTCTGTCAGTTTGTGCTGCCTGGGCAGAAGCTGGAATAGACACCATACATCATGAATGCAAATTAGCCACTTGATTTGACATTTCCAATAAGCCTGTCTCAATGTACCAGTAGGGTTAGCCAATTAACCATGTCAGTAATCAATGCGTTCCAAGGCTCAGTTAAGTCCTCAGTTTCCCTGCCACATACATCACAGGCAGATTAGCCGATCAGTTACTCTCGTGCGCCAGCTTAATCGTCCACTTCAAGAGAGATAAAATGGAAGATGAAACTTAATGAAGTCAGCTGGAATATTACCGTCACTCCTATGTCTCTATAAAGCTGTGAAGCTGTGGGCTAAAATGGCAACACACTGGTGCATGTAATGAGTGTCTTTTTTCCAGTGCTTTTAGAATTTGTAAATTATCTTGGATAGCTGGATTAAAACTAGCAGCCTCACATTAAAGTGATTATATGACTGCTTAGCCAAGGGTGTTAGCCAACGTGATACAAGCCATTGTAGTGTAACTGCTCATTTAACACAATTGTGGCTCTATTTTTGCTCTATTTTGCAGCGCTAAACCTGTACTGAGACAAAGGGAGTTTGGTTCACGTGGGGCTTTTTTTCTTCATATGCAGCTCTTGAGTCATTTTCTGCCACCAAACAATTGTGGTTAAGCCAAGGCACTTGCAGAGCTCCCGCAATACACGGGCAAATATTGTAATTTGTAATTAATAATTTATTTTACCATTTTTTTTCCATCTACTGCAGAGTGGCGTGTGCACTGAAATACAGTTTATTTCTGCAACTGATGAAGATTCTTGCCTATAATCCAATCCACTAAAGTGTGATCCAGTTACAAAGAAATGTCAATACTGACGTTGTGTTTGATAAGTGAGCAGTCTGTCTATGCAGTTAATTAAACACCTGTAGTCATTACAGACCAGCAGAGATTATATGATTTGCGAGAGGGGCTCTACTAATTCACATGGGTGGCAACGCAGCAATTTCATTGAATCACAAGGCTCTGTGTTACCATTGTTAAGGATTTAAAGATAAATAATGATAAATAATCTGGTGTACCTGTAGCACCACAAAATGATCCATCCTATAAATTAAGATTCTAATTATACTAGAATTTAATCTTGATATGATAACTAAGAAAAAACCAATAACCATTGCCATTTTCAATACCATGGAAGGAAAAATGACAATAAATTAATAAGATAATCTATAATATATTGTAGTTTATGTACTTATAAGTATATGTACAGTGTACAATGACAGTGCTATTTTAAGCTCTTTCACATAGTGTCAAAATAAAGTCAACATGATTATCATGTATTTATAACATATTAAATTTTAAGTATTAACTAAAAATTTCAAGATATTTTTAAATAGCAAAAAGCAGAAATATTTCAAGGTTTTGTCTTTAATACGTTGCTTAGAGATGGTGGTGACTCTCAAAGCAGAGCCAGTGAGAACCGAATGAGAATTGATAAGGAATTGAATCAATGATAACAGAACCAGAATCTCTAAATTCTTATCAATTCCCATCCCTAGTAACCTATGACATAATTTAAAGCTTATCATACCTCACTAGTGCCTCCCTGGTAATATAGATATATTTTATGTTGCCACAGCGCAAAACTATTGAGACTGCTCAGTTTAGTATTGACAAATCTTCCAAAGCATGTCTGGCTACTTTTTAACCAAAGTTTTTCAATCATTCGGATCCATCAAGTCCATAAAAGGAAGAATAACCTAATGGCCTAAATATAAGAAATCAGAGATATCAGAGAATATGTGAAACTATTGGGATGGGTATCAGGTAATGTGCAAACAGTGGGGGCACAGAAAGGAAAAAAGTCCTAGGATCTCAATTATCACCACATATAAAACCCAACAGCAAAGTAATTAACATATAATGCACCACACAAGCATGAATGTTGGCAACGGCATCGGCCACTTACGTAGGTTACATAGTAAACTCTACAAAGATTCAACACAGAGGTCTACATCTGGGTAATTGATAATAGTTAAACAGTGTCTGGGATTGCATCAAGGAGGCCATCTGGCATAAAAACACAAAAAGAAGAAAGAAAAAAAGAAATCCACCTCCAAACATGATGTGGAGCTTCCTGCTGTGATAGCATCGTGTGAATAAGGAAGGAACTGAAAGTAGCTTCTAGCACATTAGACCAAAAAAAACCAAAAACAAGAAGCAACACACAAAAAGACCCTGATTAAGACACATGACACTGGGACCGGAGAGATAAAAGAACAAAACACAGAGAAGAACATGGGGAAGGAAACAATACAGGGGCCAGGGCTACAATCATTTTATCTAGACGACGAGTACAGACAACCACTGAGACAATTCAGAGAGAAACCAGAAAGACACTATTACAAATGCATTTAACACTTTAATTCACACATCAGAAGTCCTTAACATATAAAGTGTTCCACATGACATAATTTAATAACATTCAAATGAAATTTGCTCTTACTCCTTCTTGATCTACAAATGGTCACAATGAACTTCTTAAGTTTGGCATTTTACCTCTGAGAGAAAAGTGAACCTCAACTTCCTGTGAATGTGATCTAAGTCTTAATGTTCTGTGAAATTTGGCCGCCTTTTCAGTGATGACATCTACGAGGTTATGATTTAAATGAATTGTTAGTGAGCGTAAATTGTTCTTCCAGTGTATCAATCTTCTTAGCAGAGATGTAGCCTGTGTCTTTCTATTATAACTTATTGCCGTCTGATGCTCTGCATAAGGCAACATTATTTCCACTCATAGCACAAAATTAGTAACTTCAGACATCAAAGCAGAGTAGATTGAAT